AAGTTATCGTGACGAGAAGCTTAATCATTTTCAGCAAAATAAATTATTTTGAAATCTAAAAATTGGGCATTTTTGAAGTGAAATTTACTGCTTCGGTCTCGATTGTTTAGCTCGCGATTTTGTTGACTTCTTTGAGGGATTTAACGAAATTATTTTCTGCTGCTTTCTTGAAGTTTGATCACCGAGCTTTCTGCTTTTACCCGGTATATGAATACTGCTGAAGAATCATTCTCATCTTAGAAATGCAGCGATCTTTGTATTATCTTGATTAGTTACTCAAGAGATAACACGAAAGTGATTAATGCTTTAATTGAAACCTTCTCCTGGCTGTCTTTAAACGATTCATCTTCGTTTGCATTGCTGAATGGTTCTTATTTGCAGTGTTCTTCTCATTTTCTTTGTCTTTAATCTGAGGTTTTTTCAGAGCGATTGCTGAAATAACTCAGAATGCATTCATCTCAAAAAAAATATTACAAGTCAGCAAATCTGAGAAAAGATGAAATAATCTATTATACACTGGAAAATGAAATCTCATATGACAGAAGTTACGATGCCTTTTGCTGCACTTCTTGTTGTGACCATTATTGTTGATTTAGTTATTTCCACAGCCCTCTGAAATGCCATTCATCTGAGTCGGTGTATTCAACTAGATAACGCCGCTCACAGGTGGGTGGAAACGTTATGTAGAGGGGTAAATTTGGAGAAATTAACACAACTTCATTGTGTACGTCTTGGAAGCAGATTTTGAAGAAGGCACCTGGAAGAAGACGCGATCTCACTCCAGTTGAGCGATTACTTGGAAAAGCTGATAGCTATAGGTGCAAACCATATCGAATCAAAAAATTAATTTTAAGTGATGTTCTTATGGACCACTTCTGTACTAGTATCATTTTGTATTGATGATCATGACAAAGGAATACCAAAAATATCATTTACTGGAATTTAACTACAAAACAGGAGCTCAAATTCAATCTTTTTTATTGTTCCCATTGCAATACCAATAAAAACCTCACGCTCACTCCAAAAGCAACCGGTTATCGTCTCACAAGTCGATAAAAATGATGATTAAAATTTCATTTAATTCAACACAGCGTTCGCATCTATTTTCATTTTGTATTGTTACAAAACCTAACTTTGCATTCAAATTTATGTGCAGTATGCCATACAAATTTTGTCAGTCATCGATATTATTTTTCAAAGTATTCGTAATTCTTTCATTTTTAATTAATCCATCGAGTATTCTGCCTCAGTGCACTCACTCAACATTTCGAATAATAATCTTAATATATCTTCAGATATCTTGTATAGTAGATCACTTTCACGAAAAGCAATTCAAAAGCTCTTCGTCATACATGAAACCATATGTCATTATTACTCTCAATCAGTATTACGTCAAATGGAATCATTTCTCATAAAAGTAGAACACCGACTGACTTGTATTACGTCGTTAACATTGCCATACCTATGGGAGCACCAGACAATTATCAGTGAGTCTAACTGAATGCACCAGATAATCTCTCACTACTGGCACGCTCTCCACCAGGTTCTAAATCTTGAGTACCGCCGCACAAATACGTGACACTAATGCCTGTTCCTTTCTGGCAATGATGCTGATCTTAAGTTCTCACATCATTATTCATAACTTATCGCACTAAAACCTTGGCTTTTTCTCTCACTTCTTGACATTTCTTATTGCTTTCTTATGTCAATCGATCCGATTTGTTCAAAGTTCAAGCTAACTCTTCTCTAATTCCAAATATCAGATAAAGGTTTGGCCGCAAAGCAGCGCATTAATTCGATCAATAAACCATCGCACACCCGACCGCATCATGCACGAGTTTCACATTTTACAAATCCACCTATTTGAAGAAGCAATCTCATCGCAACGAAAAAATAATCATTCACAAAGAGGTCGATCAAAGATTCGGATAGATGATCACTTGACAAAGAACTGAATAAGCCCTCACTGAATCAAACGAATCCTCCCAATACCATGATTTCATATTCTGCATGAATGTTTTCTCCTGTTTGCTGCACGTGTAACATTCGATTGCTGTGAACGAAGACTTGAAGGTGTTCTTGAATGTGCACGTCTCAATGGATGGAAGATACTCGAACCTTTCAGCGATAAAGGCTGCCATTCTTATTCAACGATGGTATCGACGGTGCTTGGCTCGATTGGAGGCGAGACGACGTGCTACGTGGAGCATATTTACGGCATTAGAATATTCGGGAGAACAAGATCAGTTGAAGGTTCGATCCAATTGTTGGAATCTCAAATATCCCTCAACTATCCACTTCTTTTAGTTGTATAATTTTTTCAGCGATATTATGCGAGCAATGGCCGACTCAGAAAATGCTGGTGTCAACAGTGGTGCACCGTCACTTTCTCAAGGTTTGTTGTGTCTTATTCGTATTTTGATTATTCTTTCGCTCTATCCGAACCGAAATCCCAAACCAATTATTGCTGAAAAAGATCGCATTCAGTTGCGCGCATGTACATCAACGATTAGAATCGGTCAAAATATGAGATTGTAGCTTGCATAATTCGATCATGTACTCGTTGCTAGTGGGTACGGTATTCATAGCAGCTGATTGCTTCCGGTTTCGTATTTGAATGCGGAACTTAATTGGAATGAATTGGATTTCCATGAGTGCAAATAAAAGATAATAAAAAGTAGCTCAGGAGATATGAAGTGATTCTGTGAAATATCAGTTATTTCGGTTCGTCGTAAGTAAAGAGAAAAAAGAGAAAAATATTAAAAGCAATCTTAAATTCTCTCAGTTATTCCATTCAATTGTGGCTATCGAATAAATCCTTTTATTGCGATGCCACACAACAAAAGCAACTTTTGATCTGATGAACTGCTTCTTCTTTTTTTCAGCACTAGCACCATATACGTCCTGTCAACGTAAGTCAGGCATGACATTGATTGCTCATTTTTGTTGCGACCGCACTATTCTTACTTTTGCTACGCTTGAATAGCTAGGTGCTTTGCACTCTCAAGCTTCAATGAGACAAACACATTTCATAGCAATAATAAGGATCAATTGGAAGTAAATAATGAGGATCAATTCCCTCATTTGAGTAATGAGGGAATTGATCCTCATTATTTACTTTCGTTAGCAGAAAAGCAATTTAAAGCCGAACGCACTCATCAACGAAAGATAAAATCAGTTCATTATGCAATTTTCTGCATGATTTCATGATTGGAATTTGCATTTTCTAGAAGATTGCTTGCATGTGCGTCAAAATAACGAGATCAAATTGTTTTTCATGGCTTGCATTGCTTCTGAAGCAGTCAATATTATCTGCGTTTAGATCTGCATGAGAGAAACATTTCAGCTAACGATCAAGAGCTGGACTACAAATTAGCTGAAGCGACAAAACCCGAACTATTCAAGGTCGATAAATCCTATAAAGGACCGGTGATTAAGCTCCCACTGAAGAAAGCGCATGTTGATAACATGATTGATGCCTTCAAACAAAATAAGGTTCATAACATTTTTCTTTGTGTTTCGATTAGTGTTTTTGTTTCTATCACCAACTTGGACGCAATGAGAGCGGCATCAGTCTTATCTATTCTATGCTACAAAAGGAGAAACCGAATTGAGCAGAGAACTGATGTAATACATCTAGTCGGACCGTTTTGATGCAAATCACATTCATCACAAACTATTGTAACTGCAACTTCACTGTTTAGCAGTCATGATTATATTTGTGTTTTGAAGACGATTCATGTGCGTTATTTGCTCATGATACTTCACGAAGCGAGACGAATATTCAAAGCGATGCCATCGGTTGTGCATTTGTCCACGTCACTCTCGAAACAAGTCACAGTATGCGGCGATCTACACGGAAAATTCGATGATCTATCAATTATCTTATACAAAGTAACTATTCCTTTAGACTACTTCATCGAGTACATATGATTTTACGATTCCCATAGTAAACATCTTGCTAAGATAACGAACCATCTCACAGTCTGTCTTCAATGAGAAAATGAATGCTAAAGCTTGATCTTGTGTAGAATGGATATCCATCAGTTGATAATCCATACGTGTTCAATGGTGATTTTGTGGATCGAGGCTCACAAAGTATCGAGGTTTTTGTGGTTTTGTGTGCTCTCGTCGTCCTCAATCCGTCCTCAGTGGTATTGAATCGTGGTAATCATGAAGATCACATCATGAACCTACGGTATGGATTCGTTAAAGAGCTCATGACCAAATACAAGGTAATATGAAGTTTCTGTTATCTTCTGATTTGTTATTAATCATCCACATTCCTTCTTATCAAAAAGACAACTTACTATGCTCGTCGCACTGATCAAACATTGATTTTTTGTTATTCCAATTGCAATGATTTAATGTGTTGGAAGCGGTATGCGTACAGCGCTTGATAGCTGTGATTTGCAGGATGCAGCGACTCCAATTGTACGTTTGCTGGAAGATATCTTCTCATGGTTACCACTTGCAACGATTATCGATAACGATATATTTGTGACACACGGCGGTGTTTCTGATAAAACCGATCTGAATCAAATACGAAGATTCCCTCGACACAAAGTGAGTAAGCAGCAAATGCGCTCGAATTTCCAATTTTTCAGTTCAAATGAGAACAAATGAGAACCAGGGCGAGCGATTTTTTTCAGTTTATTCAATTCTGATTTCAAGAACGGAGAGAGAATTACGTGTGCAATGCACTTTTGCAATCAACCGATTCTCAGATATCGAAAGGATTCACTTCGGATGTGACAATGGCTAATCAAATTACTCTTTACTGTATTTGTACGCTGAATCGTACTCATTGCAGTATTTATCAATTATGAGACCACCACTTGTGCAACGCAGAGACGGTAAGAAAAGTGTTGATGTGAACGAGTGGAAACTTCTGTTGGATTTGCTGTGGAGTGATCCGAAGCAGCAGCCAGGGTGTTGGCCGAACGTCTTCCGAGGAGGTGGCTCGTACTTTGGACCGGATGTCAGTCGACGATTTTTGGAAAAGTAATTGAACTCTTCCATCCTAATTAATGATGAAATCGAGCAAGAATTATCAGCAGCCTTAGTTGGATGCTCAGTCTTATTACTGATCCTGACTTAGATTCTGAATAATCCAGACACATCATTTAATACGTGAATGTTAATTCAGCCCTGAGAAAATATCTGATACCGAGCAAGAATTATCAGCAAAGACGGTAAGAAAGGTGTTAATGAAGTCTTCGATGATGGCTGTGAATCTAATGATGGACTCGCTTTTCAGGAATCATCTCAGATTGCTGGTCCGCTCGCACGAGTGTAAGTATGAAGGCTATGAGTTCACACATCACCAACGTGTACTCACCGTATTCTCGGCATCAAACTACTATGAACTCGGCAGCAATCGTGGTGCTTACGTCAAGTTCTTGGGCCCTAAGCGTGAACCACACTTCGTCCAATATATGGCAACAAAAGTGCATCGTAAAGTGACGGTCAGGGAGAGGTAAGTCGAATGCGGTCCCAACTCTTGAATTGACGAATCCTATTTTGTGGTGGAGTAGGGATACGGAGACGGTTTACAGACACTCTTTTCATCATTGGCTGTCGAACTCTTCCACTTCTCGACAGACAATTGTCTCGATTTTTCGCTGCTGAGTAATATTATTTAAATATCAGCTATCATCATTTGATCATTTCTTCGTGACAGTTGATCAATCGCTGTCATATGAAACTGATGGAGAGGTGTTTTTTCAAAAATATTTTTTTGCGTTGAATAATTTTGTTTCTTAGATTAAGCATTGTTGAGCAATCTGCAATAAGGGATTTACGCGAAAAAGTTGGTGCTTTCAATACGCAACTTCAAGAGGAATATACCAAACTAGATCCGAATCGAACAGGTTATATTTCGTATCCTACATAACAATTCTGTTGACGTTGCCTAGTTGGTCAGTGAAAGTAATAGCAGTTTCGAGTTTGTTTAAACTGATCAGTGTTGATGCTGTATCAATCGGTAATTGTAGGAAAGATCTCAGTGCACAAATGGTGTGAATGTGCTGAGCGCGTGACAAAACTGAATTTACCCTGGCATGCACTCGCCAATCGTTTGGTGACTCTATCGAATGATGGTACTCATGTTCTCTATCTTGAAAATCCGCCTCAAGCTTGCTTCACCAAGGGAACTAGGAAGAGTGGAAAGGCTAGTTTGACGTTCGGCTTAATTTGTTTTGTTTTCAGTAGAGATTGTTTTTTTGGTAAAATTCAATAATATCATTGGTGAATGCAATAAACATGCACAATCTTTTTTTTTGTTTTTTTTAAACCTTTTACTAACAAAATTCTTACTTCAGGAAAATGCAGACGTGGTTGAAACTCTGTACAGACACAAAAGCACATTGGAAACTTTATTCAGATTTATGGATAAGGTATTATTGATGATATTATGAATCCAGAACAAGCACAATAGATGTTTTCGGGCGATCTTCAAACCATTTTATTCTCAGCAAAACTAATTTCTAAAGCTAGTTCTTATTTTTAGTAAAAATGATATTCCAGTGTTGATCTGAACGATTACTTGCAGGATAATTCCGGTCTGGTTTCAATGGACGAATTCTTGGAAGCTTGCAAAGTGTTAGGTCAATATACAAGAACGCATTTATCGGCCTCGTATTTGGAAGAAATCGCAGAGAGCATCGACTTCAACAAGGATGGCTTTATTGACCTGAACGAACTATTGGAGGCGTTCCGTTTGGTCGACAAAAACAAATGAATGATTTACGCTGAATAAGGAAGACTGAGAACATGAGTGAAATGATGATAAAATGAATGTTTTGTATAGATACACTGCTTCTTCAAGACTGTTTTAAAATACTGATCGTTCAGATGGATCGATGCAATTGCATGATTTCTTACAATCAATTGAACATGTTTGTTTCGCTTATCGACATCAAAGGTTCACTCGAAAAGAGAGCGCCTCAATCCATATTTTAATAAGGGAATCGGAAAAGGCTTTTGCAGTGCTCGATGCATCTCAACAAAGTCCTCATCAGAGCTGGTCGTTGACTTCAGTTGATCGTTTCTCTTGATTGCTGTAATATCTATTATTATACCTCTATGATAATAAATTCATAATTGTCAGCTATTAATCGTTGCAACAAGCATTGACTAATGACAGCAAATTGCGCACTTTCGTGCATGGTTTTAAAGCAGTTCATTTTATGTATGAAAGTCGCAAAGTTCCACATACACAGTGCTCATCCAATTATCTGTTCATTCCGTGCTACTGCTGTAGTGTTCGGTGAACAAATATCTTCCGAACAACCAAATGCTAAAGCACATACAGTGCTCTGCAATGAACTGAATGTATTTGTGTGCGCCTTCAGTTTTTTCTATTATTATGCATCTCAGCGAACTGAATGCATACTAATACATACAGCGCTGTACAAGCGAGATGCATATTAATGCATCGCACTTCAACAGTGCTCTATGCCTATCTCAAACTTGGGTAATTGAACCAAATGCTGAAGCACATAAAGTGCTCTGCAATGAACTGAATGCATCTGTATGATTTCAATTCTTTTCCATTAATATGCATCTCAGCGAACTGAATGCATACTAATGCATGCACTGAATGCATACTAATACATCCTCGAACCCTAGTGGATCTTTGAGTTAACACAACCGAGACGAAGACCTTCCCCACTACTATTCAAAGTTTTAATATTAGGCCCCCACCTCAAACGGCTGCTTAGATATAAGCAAAAATAATTTCGAAAATTGCTCGAAATTTTCAAAATTTCAAACCCTCATAACTTCGCCTAGGCTATATATCGAGAAGTGTACTTTTAACTGCTTATACTACTAGGTCCTCCCTTCACTTCTAGCCGCTAAAAGCACGGGTTCACGTTCCAAGCTGATTCCGAAAAAATCCACAGGTAGCATCTGAGATCAAGTACCTCGCTGCTGTCGGAGATTATGAGATTAAACCGGAGTAGCTATGAGATTCAATCAAATAATGACCGAAAGATAAGTAGACAAATAGGTAGCGGTTCGCTGCTTTACTATGAATGATATACTTCGTTACTACTCACTGAAATATAGCCACATGCTTAGCCATGCACGTAGATAAATCTTAGGCAGACTTTGGGTATATGGGTATTGCCAGTCATGTATGTAGGTAACTGAAGGGTCTTCAATGCACTCTATGTTTGGGACTATGCATCATTGTGCTCAAAAATGTCGATTTTGCTCGTTGAGTTCTAAATTTGTCAATTTGCTCTTGGAATTCACATGGTTAAGTGCATTAGATGATGACAGATGCATGCATGAGTCATATGAATTCAGTGGGTATGTATGGAAGTGGTACCATAGTGATGCGATGCCATATCATTGCAATCAATAAGCTGTCGTCTCAACTCATTTGGAGCTTTTCAATGAAACGCTAACGATGTCAACGCAAGAGCCCAAACCTTCTCAAATTCAACACACATATTCATGTTTCTAATATATCTGACATGGTTCGTCAGTATCATGTATAATGCCATCTATGATGGAAGTGGATAAAGAGAAAATTGCAGATAAACTTACGCAACGTCCATCAATCATCTTCATTTAGAATCAACATTTGCTTCAATAAGATTTTTCTTTGGTTTTATTGATATTTTCTCACTGCTTCATTATTCGTTCTGAGTCATTGGTAAATTTCCTCCTCTCAAATTTCCTCGTTTATTCTCATCCTGTGTTCACGTTCCATTCGTGAAAGTACAAACGAACGCGATTCGATGAGAACGATTATAAAATTGATTCCCATAATGACATTTTACTGTCACTCTGAAATATTCAAAGGATTCCGATCGAAAAATATCGAATTTCCATTCACCTCACCGCGAAACTGGATCACATAAACTGAGAGAGCAGTCTTGAGCTGTCGCTGATCTAACGCTGATCTGACTGAAGAATTTCAAGTACATTTGCAAAAATAGATCGCAGCTCAAGTTTGTTGTATTATGCAAACTTGGGTAGCGGTATATCTAGTTTTTTAATGTATTTTGTTGAAGAAAAATGTGCCGCACATCAGCGATTGACGTTGTCGAGATGTTATCATTATGTCAAATTAATCTTTTCATTGAATTTGATTCCTGCATTCAGCTGACTAATCTTCAACAGGTTTTCAAAATCATCACTGTTGCCATGGTTTCTACCAGACGAAATGAAATGAATCATATTTCGGATGATTCATTCGTCTGCGTTTGTTATTTTGAATACCTTTAGAGCCGTTCGAGGAATATGTGTCATGCATTAATAGTGTGACCTGTCAGGGTGTGCATGTTGCTGTGTTGTTCGCATTCTTAGTTTGTTATCCTCAGCGCCATAGGATACCCTTTCATATTCTCATTTTTTACTTTTAATCAGCCTTCCATTAGCGTCGTAAGAGACACAACAAATCCAAAATTACTCCCTCATTGCCTTCTATTGGAGATGTGCTTACCAAAAATTCAGATATATTATGTTCCTCCGAATCAGAACCACATTCACTGATTGATGCTAATATAAGTGTCACATTTCATAAGTTGCTGCCAAATTTCTCTGAATCATCGGATAGGTTGCATTATTGATCGACGAATAAATTTATGACCGCAGCGAGAGTGAATGCGTTGGCGAAGCAAACTTTTAACATCAACGAATGTCTATTTGGGTTTCACTTCAGTTAAATTAGCATCGCCTCTTATGCTTATCAATATCGAAGTTTTGTCACCGAGACCATTTTGAATAATGTTAAGCGCTAACGGCATTCTTATCTGACTGGTTCTATCGCCGAAATGATGCGCTTAAGATAAGAGAAAATAATACGATCGCTTCAAGAATTGTTTCAGTTTGCCATCAACATGAGAGAGCACAATGAAGCAGCCACTGAAAAATGTTCAATCATGAACTGAAATAAACACCGAGGTTTTTTCAAAGAATTTTCACTCGATTCATCGAAAATCGAACGCTTCTCATTGGAATTCATGTCCGCGATAAAATGATAAAGTCTCGTTTTAATGACTCAAGCTATAGAGCTTACGTAGCTTCAACTCCGCTACAGTTTCAAGCCAAAAGTGGTACTGAGCGAAAAGAGTTATTCTGTTCATGCAATCGCCCATTCGTGAACCAGCGATCCTTTCCATTAATAATTTATTTAGGATGTCCATCAAAAGACGAGGTGAATAAAACCCAAATGTTGATAAATTTGCAGGTATGTTTTACGGCCGAAAACGCTTGTATGTATTACCATCAAGACGGCATTTTCTTATCACGCATCGATGAGATTCATAAATAACTGTTTCAGTCAGTGAGCCCTTTGTTGTAGTAGTCATTTATCTGCAGCAAAGGGCTCAAATTCATTCATGTCATCTCATGTATTCCGCCGCTGTTCTTATGCTGTTCATGTGCACATTTGGTTGTTGTGTTTTTTGTGTTATTGAATGAGGGAAATTATTGAATTTCATGCCAAACGAAGAGTGTATTATTGTGCAGACCGCGATTATTTTTCTTGTGCTTTCCTTCTTCTGCTTCAGACAAAACAAACAATGAGAAATTGAATGGATTGGCAGTTAATGCGAATGCCTTAAAACGAAATTATCGCAAGTGCGGGTACTTTATGATACACATTATCTGATCATTATTGTTACCATTATCGTAATCATCCTCTTGTTTATCATCATTATCATCACTGCTGCTGTCTTATCGGAGCGTGATAAAATGTCATCAAACACAGCTATTGAATTCTTCAACGGTGAGTCGGCTTTCCGCTAAATTCTTTGGTTTTGTCATTGATTATCTCGATCGGTTGGCTGGATATTCCTTGAGCTGAATTGCAACTGAATCTATTTGTGAACAACGCTTCAATTACTCCGAACGAGGAATGCTGAGTGCAGTTGCGGTGCATTTGAAACGAGGTGTAGCATGCGATATGCAACCGAAACGAGACAAAGTACTCGTATGCGCAATAATCTGAATTAGTGCAAACGAACAACAATCGCTCGGCATATTTTCGAATAATGGCACTATTGATGAAAAAATTGTTTTGCGTTGATGAGAACAAAAATTGTACTCATTCAGAGCATTTTATAATTAAAGTGCCTCTCGTGAGCTCAAGTTAGTGAAGAGGTTGTGAGGGAATGAGCAAAGAATTTTGCAATATTCTCGATTAAATTCATCACATTCATTTACAACGTTTGATATGTTGATCATATGGATCCATCCCTCTTCCCATATGTGCGCCCTCATATCATTTTCGCGACGGATGAATAAGTACTGCTCCCCTTATTTAAAACACTTTAAGCATTCCAGTTCTTCATAATAGCAAAAAACATCGTTATGTTATTTTGATTCTCAGTTAATTGAAAATGTCGCAATTGAAGTCTACCCGAAAAACAGAAGCGTTGCGTTTCCTCAGCAAAAATTATATCCGAACTATGGAAAGTTACTTTCATGAGTTTCCCCGTAAATTGATGATATCTGGTGATAATTTGTCATGCAGTTTGCATTGTTACGATATTAATCATAAATGAAGATTACCTAATCTTGCAACAACATTTAACAATTTTGAGATAAATTATCAACAGTAAATGATAATACTTCATTACCACATCAGCAGAACCAGTCAGAGCAAGAGCAAAAGATCGTCGAGCAGAAATTGAAACCGAATCATTCTGTAAGTTTCTTTTTTTTCTCAAAACTGTCTGGTTGTTTTTCCTCATTCTATTTTTAAATTCCTTTAGTGTTTGTGTGTTTCATTGTTGGAATGTTGAATTACTCTGTATAATTTTGCACTTCTCCCTTAGAAATATTACGGTAAATGTGAAAATATTGCAGTAAAATTATGAAGACGCACGAGTAGTCAGGCATAGGTTTATGTTCCTTGGATAATGGCAATTTCCTCTTTTTTCTGTTGATCATGTCGAATCGTTACTCGCAAATTATAGGAAAAAATCGTTTCAATTGAATTCATCGAATCATCCATCGTGTCGATTTTCACAACCATAAATTTTCGTTATCTTCCATAGAAATACCTCATTTCGTGCCATTGATTTTCCAGCTTATTTATGCACTCACTGCATCGAAACGACGTTGTCTATTCATCGCACTCAACAACACCTCTCATTTTTGCATTCAGCTTATTCCTTTCCGACTTCCTTTCCTCGAAACTCTCCCGTTCATCGTTCACTTCTGCCTTTCATCCATATTCCATTCAAAACTACAATATATTTCGATCATACGTACTTGGTAACTAGCAAAATTTGTTGAGCATTCATGTGGGCTTATAACTCAATAAATATCAAATGAATATCTATCTACAGCTAACAAATTTTGACTCGGTATATGATGGAAGAACTCTTGGCGATTGGTGAGAATCTATAATAAAGACTTGAATTATTTATGGGTTCACTTATTCCTGCTGATATTCACACCCTATTTTCCATTAATGGCTGCATATATTTGCCGCACGCATACTATCTAGATGAGATTCTTCATCAGTCGTGGGCGAAGTCGCGAAAGCTTATATGTGTGAACATTCGAAAAATTCGTTAAATGGATTTCGCGACGGCTTTAGATTATGGATGAACAGTCTCAGGAAAGACGGAAATTCCATGCGAAATCCTGGCTCATTCAACAGATCGTATGATTCGACGACTTTTTNACTTTTTTACGGAACAAAAATTCATTTCTTCACACATCAATCATACGTACACTCCGAAGTCATTCTTCGTTTCGACGTATGTTCAGAAGATTTTCAATCGTTGAAGTTCATGTTTGCTTTTGCCTACGCAAACGACTGTCACAAATGTTTGTCATTCATTGCGATGCAGCGATCCTTTAATGAAGTTTGCCATTCAGTCGTAAATCATACCTCCTTTCTAATCAGTTTCATGAAACTTTGTGTGGAGTTTATTCGATTGATCATCATTAAATGATGACGTCAACGCGTCAGTAAAACAAAACCAAGAAATTAAATGCATAATAAAGATTGCTTGGAATGAAAAGAGAAAATTGACGAGAATGAATAATTTCGCTGGAAAGGATACGGGTGACGGTAACGTCCATAATTGGATGACATATACACTTTCATTCATGCTCAGCCAATGTCTACTTTTTGGTTGATTCGATTTTGCGTTGATTACAGCAGATCTTTCCGCGTTAGATGAGTGCGAATACTCTTCAATCTGGCCATCTATGTATCCCCTAGAGTAAGTCGATTCCGTGATATGGTGAAAACAATTCTTAATTGTTGTTGAGTTGGACAATACCGCTCTCATCCTATCCGCTAAACTAAGCATTCACAATCGATGCAAAATCCCTATTCGTATGGAATTTCAATTGTTTGAGGGAAACGTTAGTAACTGAAACTGAACAACTGAGTGTGTCTCGTTAGCTTAACGATGATTGATGTATTGTTTGTGAAGTACATTCCGTAGATGACGTGTTTTTTTGAGTGAACACGAAGAAACCACATAAATTTTGAAGTTAATCCACTTCAGTGGATCAGTTCCGAATGCCAAATCAATATATGTATCAGTTATCCTTTTCAGCATTGAACAACCAGCAACAACGATACGCACAAGCACTTATGTTTTAGCTAATCCAACGTCCAGTTATAAATTAAATCTCATCGTCGAATAATGTCTGGATTATGTATTTCTGTCACAAACATATTCCAAATTCTCATGGATTTTCCCTTCTTTGCTTTTCTTTTGTTGTCAGTTTTGCTTTTTCGATCACCATCATTCCGCAACCTTTTTCTCTACTGTGATGTCAGTCATTTGGCTTCTAGAGATTTCCTTTCAGAAAAATATTCCATTCATGTTGTTGAATTTCAAGGTAATCGTTGCTTACTTTTGTTTGATTACGGCACTTTGCTTAAAGAATGCAAATGGCTTAGCACAATCCATTCACGATTCCGTTTTTACATCCGTTTCTACTGAATATTTCCATCAATATCGCTCGTTACCTTCACCATACCAGTCTCCATAAGATTCCTCCATCAGTCAAATATTGTACTAATAATTTCTCTAGAATTCGAAGATTCGTATGTGCATCACTTAATTGAATCCATTCTTTAATATCTTCAACTTTCTCTGAACTTACTCACTATCAGACAAAATTGTGATAATCATTGAACTGTATGACGAGCAACGAGGCGGATGATTGATAATGACGATAAAGCATTGAAATTGATAGGAATGAGTAGATGTAAGCATGACGTTTTATGTCATCAACTCGTGACATGTATGCATTCATCACGGATGATTACAGCCTCGAGGGCTTCTGAAACCTTTATGACGTCAGAAGTAATTTGAATCAACTCGAATGAATCTGGTAAAAAGTGGGATGAGACATATTAAGTGTCAGTTGATTGCAGTATCACCATCTCAACGAAGTGCTTCTAACGTTTATTCTGACGTTGCAGTTCGTTCGTGCGTTCAGTAGCTTCTCTCTCCGAAACTCATTCAATTATCGACACTATTCTACGGTTTTCGCCTGTGAGGCCATCATATAGCAAGAATTGTAATAATGCAAATGTATTTTTTGTTGAATAGACGATTTCGTTGCAGTTATCCATTGATAATTAGATTTACAAATCTAGCTGGATGATTTTCGAAAAATGGACGAAATATAAACGAGATTATCGTTCACAATATGGCAACATCAGCTTTTAGAATAGGTTGCATTTGCACATGACGAATACGAGCTGTTCGAGGATAGAATGTTCAAAGATTAACTTATTCGTGAAATTCGAGCGAAAACAAATTGAAAACTTCTAACTGGAACACAATATTGCCGAGTTATATCATATTACTTGCTTCTCAGAAATTCTCCCCACTTCCAAGTGCTTTTCAATTGTTTTTAACTGATTGTTCGACTCTCTTGTTCAAGGAATATGTCATAACGTTGTAATTATTGTTGCTGAATAGAAGATATTGCTGATAGTATGAATTCATTGGGACGCTGGATACGACGCTGGAAGAATGTCGGAGAGGAGGAATTAAGGAAGAAGTTGTTTTGCGAGACTGTAAGGAGAAGGGAAAAGAAAAGTGTGGAATCGATGATGAGAGCAGAAGGGAGACGACAAGCATATGATCGACCTGGTGATGGTTTTGATGACGGACGAAGGGGAATATATCAACGAAAAACTGCTGATTCGACGACGACTGTAAAAAACTGCTGATGGAGCAAAAGTGAAATGGACTTAATTATTTTGAGGGTTTATGTAGTGGATTTTGTTTATGACAAGGAAGGCAGCTTCACATAATGAAAAGAAAGTGAAAGAATTGTAAGACAACTCAATGTATTGCCATTGTAAATAATTAGGATTTTGCCCATTTTTGGTGTATAAATCTCAATCAGTGACAATATATAACAATATAAACAATGGGAATATTATGTTTCTTGATCGCAACAGAAGTCGTTTGCTCATGCCATCGTATCACTTGAAAATGTGTTCAAATTATCTTCGAATTCGATAATTGCAGACAAAGCATTTCGCAGCACCGATTATAATCGTGATTCGTAATTGATGGTTAGGTGTTGCTTCAAGGAGCACTCCTATGAATGAAACGTCGTTATTGCAGAAGAAGACAATTTCAGGGTAATAATACGACGAGTTGTGATATTCAATGTTTGATCGAAGAGATCTGTAAGAATCGAATATCAGCAGCGATCGAAGAGAGAGACGATCTGTGGCGACGTCACGAAAAAGCGCAGATAGCATTCTTACAGAAAGAAAACGCTTCAATGCTTACTGGATTACATACGGAAATTGAACGCCTTCATCATGAGCTCAGAGGTAAGTATGTCCTTTTCTTCACATGGATTGCTTATATGCAATTTGTCGGGTAGTTTTGTTGAACATCATCTTTCAATTGATTGCAACAATTGAAAGCTCCAAAAAATAAATCTGCTCAGGTTTTCGTGTAAGCAGTTGCCTAAGAATGTCAATTGCAAAACACGATCATCGCTAATGAGCCAATTTTTAGTCACTGTTAACTTCCCCATCTTATCCACAGTCTCTCTAAGCAACCAATATCATCGATCAACTTTCAAAAAACATTGAATGATAATTCAGAAATTAACTGTTTCCTAAAGGTGTTGTTCGCAGAATTTCGCTACTCAGACTAGTGGGATGCTCATTTTTTGCTCTCTTGACGCTTTCTTTGCTCTTCGACAGAAATATTATTGGGAGTTGGTTGATTACAATTCTGAGATAAACATCATCGTTATCAACGAAACACATCAGAAATGTGACAGATCGAAAGACTCTGGTAATTAACATGCCTACCAGACTGATGAACATGCTGATTCAGCGTATGGCCAGAGCAATCGTTCGGTTCACTCTCGAACTCTTGAAACGTATGCACAACTCGTTTCTCAGTAAATTGGGATGTTTTCAGTGACATCTTTCTGCGTATAACCTCACAAGGTTCTATCAAAAATGAAGAGTTCGTTCGCACTCAACAAAAATCCAGTATCTGCTCTATACTTCTTTACTTGGTGTGAGTGTGAAAGCATGAGAGCTCAGCGAATATAGCTTTTCATATGAATATACACGTATCCATCCGTATCCTCAACTCACATATCTATACCCTATTGATTTGCCTATTCTGTGCAAATTTTCTAGAAATAGAGAGTAGTTTTGGAGAGTTCAGATGCTGAATATGTTTGATAGAAGTAATATTGAATCGATTTTTCGTTCTTTGTGAGGAGAAAGTATGAATAAATTATTCAGACTGCATTTTCCAATCATGCCAAGATGTTAGTTCCAGCATTATCTTCATTGCTAGGCAACCGTGCTTCTTGCTTATATTTGTTATGAAATTTCCGTTTATGAAAATCAGTGATGCCGTTCAAAATCATTCGTTACGAATAAGACATTGGTTACATTGGTTCGGAGATAAATTACTTACAATTAGACTTGCTTTAACAGGTGGTCGCCATGCCTCCGAAATTTTGATACTTGATCGACGTTCGATATTTTCATCGCTTTCTCTCATTAAGTGCTGCCTGATTCGAACGATTGAGCACGTCTGAAACTGCAACGAGATATCATCAAATGATGAATTTTCTTATTACGATGATTATCTTGAAGTGTGAATGTTGTGCTGTTATCATAAGAAGTCGATAGAAGCGCTACCGCTACAACATCAGTTTATCTATGTTGTTGAAAGCATCGTCTAAATTTGCTTATCGGAAGCTGTTCCATCCGACAGCATGTCGTGGATTGGACCAGCAATTAATTTCTGGTGTTGTTGACTGCATGCAATAGCTGTTGCGACGGATGCAATAACCAACTATTTCATGTGTCTCCAGTAGTGGAAACAATCGAAAATTCTGATCTCTGTTATTGCTTCATTATGCTGGACAATATTACTTTCGTATGCCGCAATTGAGCATCGTTGAGAATCAAATTACTTCATGTTAACATAATGAATGAATATGATGATGAACACGGCTTAATGAGTGTGAGCGATATCTTCTTAATGTCATACTTTAATCAGTCATGTTCTTCTTTGCGCACTCTTCTAGCATTTTGATTATTCGCAGATCAAAGTGAGTATCCACGCTGATACGGTTCGTCTCATCTCATTTAATCTCATCTTCAGATTGATGACCTTCTTTATTTGTGGTTATTTGTTCCATGCCAATGCATCACAGCCGTCCATCTCAACGAGAATGCCGAAATCACTGCAATAAAATAAACGAGTGAACACATGTAGGAATATGGTTAATCTGTAGACTCGATGAACTCTGTTCTTGTGAAAAGAAAACGGCTTTTCCCATATTTTTCTTCATTCCATTTGGGAATTCTCTGCGCAGTTTCTGTTTCAGAAATTTGCTCATTTATATACTCAGTGATATACAGTCCATGAAAAGTGTCGAACTTACTCAGTATCAGTCAGTTCTTGCCATTAACACACCTCGCTGTCTGTGCTCCTTTTTGCCTATTCTCAGACTATAACTATGAGAATGTCTTGCTTTATTCCTCGCTCTTGGTAAACGTGTCTAGCCTCCTGAATAATACCTCGTTTTGTGTTCCTTAATGCACCTGCTTCTGGCTAACGAGTACTTCTCATGACTACATTTTACTCGCATGAGAAAGCATGACGTGATGTCTAATTGAATCGAAAAATGAGGAGTGTCCCATACGGTATTTTACATTCTCATATGAGAACTAATAACTAATGAACGTCACTTACCGACAATCCCATTCTAGCTCGCAATTAGTCGGTATTTGGAGTTGGTAGTAAGAAATGTCAAATCTCTGAGTTCGTGGAATTTCGTTCATTCTTTTGAATTTAATCAGAACTCCTTTGATTTTCAATGTACTTTATGTATTTTTCAGTCTTCAATAGGACGAAATTATGAAATATTAAAGAGAAGTGATTTAAGAGAATTCTGAATTTTAATTTCATCCAACCGGATCTTCTATAATAATACAGAGTGCCAACTACTAGCTAGTTAGTTATTGTTCTATTGCCGTTAAGATCATGTGGTCAACTTCATTTACAGTTGGATCATAGTTTTTGAGAATTTCCCTCGTGAACAATCTTCAACGTTATCAAATCAAATAATTGATGAAATTAATCTTATCAAAATTTATCTCATCTATTTCAGACGCTCATCGTCAACTCTACGTTGAAGAAAAGGACACTGAAACAAGTCAACTGGAAGAAGAGAACGCAATTCTGCGTCAGAGGTGCGAATATAGTCAGCACTTTTTCGTGGGTTCAGCTCAAGCATCGAACCACTAGATCTTTGCTGTAGTGCTTAAAAGAATGTTCTAAAGATGTTTTGCAAATATACCTCTGCATCATTTGAAGATGTTTTGATTGTTTTTTTTGCATATTTTCTACCCAACAGAACATTCCATATTTCGCATTTTTTTATTTTATTAAAAATTAACAGCATTTAATCAAATCAACAATCAATTCTATCACAAGTTGTTGGGACAAACAAAGTGACCGTTACTGCAAACGGGTGAGCCCAATGGAAATGCATGAAATTTTCCCAGTTACTTTTCCATTCGTTGAAGGCACCTAAGCCGAGGAACTTGTCCTAGGCCTAGCGTTCTGATCCATTCGTGAAGTACACATCGGGCAAAACTGCACTAAAATTATCGAACATAACATTTTCTTCGTTCGATGGTTCATCGATGGATTCATTTCAACGGAACCATCTAGGACTGTGGAAAAATTATGCTTACAATTAAGGAAAAGCTGCATACTTGCGTTCAGCCGATCTCATGCATTTATGTAGTTTTAAGCTAATCGAGTGTTTCGAGACATCAACTTTTATTTTGACGTATTTATTTAGTTATCCCAATGAGTGCATATTAAACTTGCAGAGAGTATCGAATTCCAATTTAATCTTAATCGAAATGTTTAATTAGTCAGCAAATTCGTCGGTTTCTTCATATTCCCTTGAGATATTGTAATGTTGAATGCCTTCACCACATCACCATCATAAGCATTCATTGTCACTGAGTACGGTAAATGCCTCATTATAGTGTTATTCATATGCTCTATTCTATCTTCTTTTAGTGCTCTCTTCCTTTTGCTAGATCAGTTCAAATGTTTCGAGGCAGTGTAATTGAATTTGCATTTATCTTCTGGATGCTTTCTCGGAATCACGAGAGTACTTTCAGATTAGCCGAAACGGAGCGCAGTAATGAGGAGTTGTCGAGAAAGTTGGACGAAACTCACCGACAATCCTTACTCATGGAACAACAGCTAACGAATGCCATAAATATCTTCAAAAACCAACTTGCATATCAGGTTTACCACTCATAGTGTTCATTCGTGGTGAGACGTCTCCACTGCATTGTCTAAAGCATTTTCTTCTCGCAAACGGCCTGAAAATGTTATCAACTTCACGACAAACCGAACTCATACTGAATATTCCATAAGGATGAGCTGATATTGTCACGTTTTTCATGCGACCTCTTCAAAAGTTTCATACCTCAGTATATCATTACCACACCTTCATCATTGAATCGAATAACGTCCTGTAATTATGCTTGTTCATTCGTGATAAGACGTCTCCACTGAACGCATTAGTTCCAATGGATTTGGGCAAGCAAATAGTGAATTTTTTCTTAGTTTTGATCTCATCAGATATATTTCACTTTGAATATCATTTGGGCTGAAAAAAGAAACTCATTCTGATGAAAGAAACTTTTCAATTGCAGGGTAACAAAATCAGACAACTCACTGAAGAAGTGCGTGAACGGACGGCTACAATTTCCCAATTGATGACAGAGGTATGCTACTTTCTATGTTTCGTCATCAGATCTGAAGGTCGCCGGTTCGTGCCCGGCTCGTGGCACCATTTAATTACTCATAATAATCATCTCACATAGCAATCGTTAGACATAATAATGGAACTATCGCAAAATAATATGGTAACAAGTCCTACATCACAATAAAAGAACAAATTATCATATTATTAAACGAAAGAATATAATTAAAAAATTATATCGTGGTTCCAGTCACGACACAAACATTCACGCAATACCCATACAATAAGACTCTTCTGCTGTGAATTGAGAGGCTCCCATTTCACGATAATGAGCATTAAAGATAAGACATTCTGTGGCCAGCATGTGTGATGAGATAGATGCAGGCGCAGACAGTCATGACTCTTGCTTTTCTCCTGTATTTGTCGATAAATGAAATTTTGCAGTTACGATTCGGTTCAGCGAGTGATCTGGCTTGTAATCGGAATCATTGTATTGTGCATGCGAACTCGAATGCAAATGTGGATTATTCGTTCTACGTGACGAAATCAAATCAACGACGTGTATCTTCATCAGACCCTTCTGATAATAACGTCGTCTCAAAATGTCATCTTGTTCGCAGTGTTTCAGTGACATATCCTGGTGGACGACCAAATGTTATCACACAAAGATATAAACACCCTCCAGGAAAGTTAGTCTTTGCTCTTTTCATTTGATGTTGATGATTACTAGTAAAGTTGACATCGTAAAAATGCTAACAATGCCCAGAAGAACATAACGTTAAGCTGATTAACGGCTCATTGCTCATGAAACCTAATTATGTGTTATTTGCAATTGTAAAGTTATTCTGAAAATTATCGTTTGAAAAAGGAGGTGGAGGGAGAGGCAAGAGAGCTCAAGGCACTAGTAATAATTCGGCGATCATCGCTATGTTTATTGGCATCTTATAATTCTATTCCAATTCATCAAGTCAGAGCGATTCGTTGTTCACATGCACATTCACTTATAAATCAGCGAAGTGATAAAATTTGCTTTCAATGTTCTGATAAATCTGGATTTGATATTGTTTATCACCTTGCTGGTGGATAGGCACTGATTAGTGGTGAGTGCTACGATAGTTTCAGCCCACGTTCGCATCACTTGCCGTGTCTCTACTCACGATGGCAAAGTTTCTCGGTTGGAGGATGCAATAATATCGAGAAACCGCGCAAATTCAACAGTACACCAATTGAGCGAATGTCTTTGACGAGATCATTGAATGAGAGCGATCGAGCGTCGACGAGTAATGCGGAGAGTAGCACGTCAAATAAATGAATTAAACATTTCATTTTCATTTGCAATCTTTCAAATTTGTTCCCATCATCACGCTTTGCTCTCAGTCAACTTCAATTCCGCCTTTAGGATCACTTATTAAGGTTTTCGTGAAAATAAATTATGCAATTATTTTCCAGTGATCCTCGGTGAAATTCGGCAACCGTGGATCACATACAAATACGCAAGGAAGGCGTAATTACTTTATGAATTCATTGAATGAATTCGTTGGATTGAGAGTGAATCGGTGATACGATACTTCATTCTATACGTGTATATATCAGTCATATTCCTCTGTCTATCGTGTTCAGTAAAATATTTTTGAGTTTCGTTTGTCTGATGTTGAATATCCATTCGATATGAATAAATTTTGTCGGATCAATAACGAATTTAGCTCGAAACTGTACGGATATGTTTTAGAAATTCGAATAGAGCAAATATCAGCATGCTCGAAATATGAGTGCTCGTAGTGTGGTTTTCTGTAAGAAGAAAAGAATTTTAAATGATAGGGATTCATCTGATGGAACAATATTTTCTCAGTCAAAATATTCCTTCAAACCCTTCTAGAAAGCTTCAAGAGATGAACGAAGGGTAGATATGCTGGCGATAGAATCAACTGTAAGATGTATCAATAAGTCAAAGGACTTATACAAAATAATTTTAATTTGTTGAAAATAATTGAAAATCTGGGAAATTGTTTGTGATTAACAGAAAGAAGGTGAAAAATGAGGCATTGAGCATCTCTTTTGATTTGAGCTGAATCGTATGTGAAGTATCGATGTGCCTTAGCATGTGTCCGGATCGATTGGCTACTAACAAGAGGAATTGTGTAGCTGTCGTCGGTGCCGTCGTCCGTATACTGAAGCCATATGTTGATCAATCCTTGGAATGCAGCGACTGAAGCCTCGCTCGTCGATCTCGGGATCTGGATACGCAAAATCTGGACACTTACTCCCTGAAAACATCATAGTGGTGTGTTTGGGTGGACACTTTCTGATCAACAACACAAGATATAATGATTGTTCTTTAGTGATTGATGCTGATTTATTAAAAATGATCAACAAAAGATAAAACGGTGTGGAGAACTACTGCATGAATGTGGAGTATTGTTATCATGGGAAATAGAGCCGAGGAAAATGCAACAAAATTCTGGAGAATATTAACAAATAAAATTGAAGGAATCTGATGTGAAGTAATGTGAAATAATGGTTTAACTGACAGCATTTGCTGAACATGAAATGTAGTCCTCGTTCACACATGCATCGTGAAGGCTTTAATTGCTTATCGCAAAACGTCGACTCACATGCACGCTTACACTGTTCATCAATTATGCAGCCAGTTCGATTCGGTTTAAGTGCTGAAACTTTTTTTGATGAGTGCATCTCATTTCGCAGTACACAGAGTGCACCTTTTCAACGATTCATTGTCGTTTCATTGAAATGGTTTGATTTTTACTTGGCTTCAACACCTACCCAATATGAAAAATCACACTCAAATGATCAGTGAATAAAAATGAGATCCGAGACTGATTATGGAAATATCAGGGAACATGATACCTTTAAGACAGCATCCAGGTTCGGTCAGTGTAGCTTGAAAACAACTTCTGCCTGGTTTGCAGTCTGAAGTTGTCATGCAATCTGCAAAGTGTTCACTTCGTTCGAAGATTGCCCTCTGTACTCAAAGAACGATTAAGTTAGCATGAAGATACCCAATTAAAAGCAACTAACTGCATGTCATTGCTCTAAAGCATTGTTTAGCATAGGGTGTAAATCACTCTCTGAAGGGTAATTTGGTGGTATATGGTGGTATCTGAGGAGAATTTTCATCCCAAATAATTAATTTCCATCACAATACGGAGGAATTTCTGGGTCTGTTTCCGATTTAATGCTGATGTTATATGGGGAGACAATAAAATGGTGTACGGGGGGAGGGAGTAGTTAATGACGGACGGCCTGTTAGACCATCGAAGGAGGTAATGGAACTTTCAAGCGAGAGAAAACTGATCTGCAGCAAAATAAACTGACCTGCTGTGCATTCCGGTATTGACGATTTCTTTCTCTCTTCCACTGGGCCAATTTGATACCAAGGTCCTTCTGGTGCACACTTCACCAATATCAGAAGGCTCGCTAGAGTTAGGACGGAGATTTGAAGTTTTGTTGAAAATGGTAACATTTCTTCGAATAACATTTTCATTCGACAGAATAAGGGTACTGTTTGAAACACTTTAAATACACTGAATATGTGGAATGTCTTCTTTTAATCAGTATTTTATCATAAGTTCATTGATGGCAAACGGTCAGTTACGGGTGGAATCAATTTTCACTCAAAGCTATTCAGCTGTTGATGATCTATATATGCAGTTAAGGTGGCTTTTTCTTTTCGATTAAGCAGTTGGCACGAAATGAGTGAATGCATTTGAGAGGACAGTGTTGACATTTATGAAATTACTTGTTGGTATGAGTATGAGGTGACACCTTTCGAATATATTCAGTACCAACCAGTTCAATTCAGAAATTACACCGTTCCGTTCAGTCAATCGATAACTTAGCTGGAATTTTTGAATTTTCACCGTACGCATATTTTCTTCTTTCTTTCGATAAGACCTATTTTAGATGGAGCTTACTGAAAGAAGGAAAATTAGCTCGAAAGATTTGGCTTCTCATTCTCGAATCTCAAAGAGTGCATCGATTGTTCACTTGAAGCACTTTGATTGTCCGTTTTGTTTGACGACTGAGTATAACTAATGATGTTTAGATGTTTGTGCACTGTCACTTCGAAATCACCATTATTTGTTCGAGAGACATCTGCATCCATCTTTTTCGATTAGTTATGTTTTTTTCGCTTTCACTCTTTTCATATTGCACAAACAGTCATAACTGCTTTTCATAGCTGAATCCGTACCAGACAGTTTACTTTTATATTCACATTGGCATTTGGGGGTATTCTATTGATGGAGCGTATCTCACAAATATTCATTGTTTGAAAATACATTGTTTCGAATCATTTTTGAGCGAAGACCGCAATGGATGTCGAGGAAGAAATTTGCACTCGTCTTTCAAAATTTTATTCTTTGTCAGAATAGTATTGACCACAGTATTGTTGCATATCTCGTTACCGTATATTCATGCACAAAAATAAGATTATCACATAATGTGCAGGTGAATCATGCACACAGTACTTTTATATTATCATAAAAGATAAGACATAATTTGAAGCGTAACAGCAAATATCTGAATCATGAAGGAATGATTCGTGCTCACTCACAACATCGACAATGTGTCATACTCTGCTAACAGAATAAGGATGGCTAGGATATGCAAACAAAACAATATGAGCGACCAAACTATTGCACAATTGTTGTTCTACGAAGAAAATACTTAAAGCTGTTTGCAGTCGTATTTATTTTTTAATAGTGTTGAGAAGTGTTCATGCTCATCAGTATTGCATGATGTTCTTGATTGCCCCAATCTATCAAATTTCTCTTCGCTCTGTGTTGATACAACAACAAAGTAACTAGATATCGCAAGCAGATCAGATGCACACATCATTATGCAAATGCAATGTGTGCTGAATTCTTAATATGTATTTAGCTCATCGAATAAACACTCAACAAAATGAATGATGATCAATGATGTGGAATGCAAATTTGCTTTTATCGTAATCGTATAATTTCTATCATCTCAACAATTTCCCTCTAAACAATTCGCCGACGACACTGGAATGCTTACTATCACCGATCTTAAAAGCGATGGTATTATTCATGTCATTATCAACTCTTATTTTTCATCGCTCATATAAGCGCATTCCACCATCGTCAGTAGATTCTGAACTGCATTGGAACATATTCAATCTGTGAAAAGTATCACTGACCCACTAACATAACCCAATACAAAATATCGAAATTCATACTGTGAAGAAACCATTGCGTCATTGGAAATCGCTGATTTTTGAATAGGAATAATAATCCGATTAAAAAATTCTTCGCATGACTCACGAATGCATTTGTGAAGCATTATTCAACTAAATCCTATTCGAATTTTTCTCCAGTGAAAGCACAATAGAACTGGGAAAACATTACAGACAATTGTTGAGCTGGAAACTATAAGACTCTCTAAACAATTAAACAACTTTAGTGATGAATCGTAAGGCGTCATTGAATGAATCATCATTGCAGAAACAACTTTCTTTCAACGATTAAAGCACAATTTGATTTCCAATATTTCCAGTGACGTTCACGAATTCAACACACTGCCTATTGATTGTTCTGGCCGGTTTTTTCATGTGCACTTTGGCAAAAGTGTTACGAAACACATGCACACAAAGAATGCATTTGTTCCATTCGAATGCACCCAACATCATCGAAAATACTTCCGAATCATCGTTGTTGTGCAACTTCGATATACACTATATGTGTGTGATCAAATGAAACTTTCCATCTGTTTCTTTATATTGTACTTTCAAATTCTGACTGCCATTCGGTTAGGAATATTCCAGGTTTTTCAATTAAATCATGAGCTCACGCGGGAGCATGTGAATCTGATCGTCTATTCAATCCTATTTTATCATTAGGTTTGTCATTAGGAGTCTACATCTCCGGTTATGTTTATTATCCGTCGAACTCGCACGTGCCTTTAATGAGTGAATTTCATTGCTGACAGTTTTTGACTTGATAGAACACCACCGTAACTCATTACTTTATTGGTTCGTTCGTCGAAATTCTATCGGTTTTCTAGCAGATGTTGATTTCACTTATTTTAGCTTGAACAGTCGGAAATGTTCGATGAGCGAGAATATCGTCGAATCTCCACCGAAAACGTCGTCAGTGGCTCTAGCACGGTAGTCATCATCTTCTTCACTTTCTTTTCAGTCCCTCTGAGTTGTTTGTAAATTTTTGCATTCTTTCGTGTATTGACTGTGAAGAAAAAGTTCAACAGCGCGAAAAATCTTAAGCACGATTCGCTACAGTTTAATCAATTTCAGAATGTTGTCTTTACCTCAACAGTAATCTGTCTTCTAATCAAAAACTTAGCTATGCAGCGTAGTCCATATCAATCTCAGACTCACGATTGACTTTTTTGTTTCAGCATGCAAGATGGTTTTTTTCACACTGAAAACAATTATAAATCCACCTTCGCCTGCGTTATAATTTGAATACTTTCAGACCAAAGGATGTAAATCATCATCTGAAGTTGTTCTTATTTCTTATCGACCGCTGCCAAGTGATGATAACGGATTTGTTCCATCACACCATCATCATCCCTCTCATGGTGACTCTCACATAACTGACGCATCTTATCCGCTTCCGCAAGACATCCAAACTGCACGCTATTCACCATCGCATTTCGGTGAAGCCTGCCCGGAACCAATCGGATTCCGTCATTTCCATCAAACTGTTTATCCATCGGCAATTGGAATAATTGATGAGGACGATGCTGCAAAGGTGATGCCACCAGGTGAATTAGGAGGTGGCGCTGATCAATACGGAGGTTCCGCACATTGCGGCGGCGGCTCAGAATACAAACCTGAGACAACATCTGAGAGGCCCGAGTTTGATTCTGATGGAATTCGCATCCTCTATTATCGACCAACGTAACTTGCTTGTTTTATGCGCTGGCATGGGCTGTAAATATTGTATTCTTCACGTACGCGTTTAGCAACACTTAGTATTTGTATGAAGATGAAGTTTCACTTTAGCACTAGATTTCCTTGCAATTAGGCAATTTGTCTGATTGTAAAGAATCGTTCTGCTTAGAAAACAAGTGTATGTTACACACGCCTTTGCTCGTTCTTCTTTTTTTCATGGAATTTTTGAAGAGTAATTATTTGTTTACCAATTTATTCATCGTTGACCTGAAGTGATATTTCTGAGAAGTTATCATAATAAATGAATTTTTGTAATAGATGTTTGAGCGCTTTGACTTTCATTTTCAATAATTCGTATTTTGATTAGCGATTGAAGAATCTTGATTTTTGTTGTTTTGCACTTAAAATTCATTATTTACTGAGAAGTGTTTTTCAATTTGCACCTATAAAAAATGCCTCTTCACTGTACATATAATGGTAAATCATAATAATTCATTATTTAAAGCAGATTGAAAGGTTCTTTTAAACGCTTTATGGTTCATATTGACAGCAGTCAATGGGGGAAAAGATAGATCGCAAAATGGCAAGATCAAATGATCAGAAACAATTGATCGTTGCATGTGATAAGCATTAATCATTTAAAATGTGAAATGCTTACGGATGAATGTGCTGAAAAAGTATGCAGATACAGTCTTGAATACGCCGTTTAGAATTTGTTTGTTCATATTGCTAGGCAGAATAAACTCAAAAGCAAATAAACAACTCGATGAAAGCGTTGTCCAAATCAAAAAATTCTGCAGATTCTTTCACTCGTGCAGATCGTTCGTTGTGCGAGTGCATCCTAAATTCCACCCCTAATAAAACCATAGCAACAAATTTTATTTTTAATTTTCTGTTTCTCATTCGATGAAGTGTTTCTTAAACATTTAAAATGCCCCCAATTAACTTTTAACTAGTCACTGACAAGGAAAGGCTGCGTACATAAACCGAAGTTCCGAGACGTACAGCATCGTACAGTATCCGCCAGTAATCGCCGTGCTGATTCAAAATCTATGTTCGAAATTTGTTGAAATACTTCCGATAACATAAGAATTCCGATATCGGCCTACAAACGGACTTATTTGATATGCGGTTGATCATTACACGGTCATTTAAAACTTATTCTGAGATTCAACCAAAAATTATTCCTTCAGTCAATAATATAATCATTCAATCGCAACAACGAAAAGAATATTATATCGAAGGGTTGTAAAAGAGAACCATCAAAAATAAATGAAAAACAAAGCAACAGAAAGCTCGTAAAAATTAAATCTCATGCTATGTTTCTTATTATTATTGCCACTGCTATCAGTAAAATGGAACAGAATTTGCACTGAAACTGCAAAAATAAGAATTAGGAAAGTAAGAACTGAAGAGAGGCTTGAGATGAAGATAATAATTGTTTATCGATACATGTGACCTATATTCATAATCAGTCGAACAACCAGCATATTGTAAATAAAAATAAGCAAATAATAATATGCAGTTAATAATATAACCATTTATTTGAGTATCCAATGAATATGAATGGTAATGTTCATAACAAGGTAACGTTAACAACAATTAATGATATATTACACCTAAGAGTTCAATGATCAACCCGCAGCACCTTATCATCAATTGCAAGCAAACCCCTTGATGTCAGTCAACGAACCATCCTTACTAACGACCACTCGTTCCAAATGTGTTCCCCCATTTATTATTACAACAAAGAAACTCACTCTCGTTCCCATTTGATTCATTTAACGTGCATTCACCTTACATTCCCATCGAATGTCAGATGACTTGGAGACTCAGTTCCATATCTCTGTATCTTTCAACCTTAAAATTGGTTACTTTTCCAAGGCAACTTGGTACGAAATTTTTGTGGGCCTAATTATAAGTATTGTAGCAATATTCGAGAAGTAAGATGGCTTTTTGGGATCATAATGTCAATCCATGAGTATGAGTATTCATCATATTCAGATTGTTCGAGGTCGACTAAACTGCCGTTGTGGAACGCTGATCTAACCGTCAAATCTATTAGATTTGAAGAATGAATACTCGACAAAGACTTCAGTAAAATTTTGTGACATTTAATGATATTACTGTCCGTGTTTTTGTTTTTCCGATTGCACCGTTTTAAGACTGCTTCAGAGGCTATGATATTGTTTGTCTCAAATGTCGGTTAAGAGACAACCACATAAAAAGTGCAACATAAACGAAGCTCTGTGGTTTATCGCATTCAGCAATTCTTTCTTTCCATACCAGTTCAGGTGGAGCACAGTGATGTGCCTTCTTATCTCATATGAGCTGCATGAAACGATCCACTGTTCGCATTCAATACAGCATGACTCTCGCCAGCACAGTGTGAACTGAGTTACTGCGTGACATAGCGAATTTGCCACAGTCAATTGAGAAATCAACACTTCAACTCTCGAAATTTGCATACATTGAAATCCTGGTGATCAATGTCGAAAAATATTTCGGAAAAATTTGAATAAAATTGGGTTAAATTTGAAAATCTGAATTGAAACATCAAAATGCGCATTACGAGTTGGCAATAGTTGTACATTGCACTTTATAGTTGGTGAAAAAAAGCTAACATTATAGAAAATTCATTGCAAGTTGGAAAATGTAAAATGATCATATGGACGTTGATTCGTACGATCGCCGAATTGCTATTTCTGATCGCCGTAAGTGAAATATTTTGTCTGTTGAGAGGTGTCAATCGAACTCAGCTACAAACAAAGACAATGACCGAAGTAGGTGGCTCATGGAAACCGGCCCTGTCGCCAGAACAGGAAAAGGAACTCCGAGAGATTGCACGAAAACTTGTGGCCCCCGGCAAAGGTATTCTGGCCGCCGATGAGAGTACAGGTAACTTGAACAATGTGACCGCTTACTTACGTTTTAAACTTGTAATCTTATGAACAGGGGATTACTGTAGCTGTTGACGACCAAACGAAAGGACGAGGAAGGGCAAATAGTGAATGATTTGAATTGAGTGAACGTTTTTTAAAAATTCAATTTAGCATAATTGAGTTCCGAGTCACTGTATGAACGATGTCATATTACATGATTCAAAATAGGAATTAATAAATAAATGCAAACGAACAGTCAATTTGTCAGAAGATTTCACTCCCTTCATAAATCGCTTACAGTGATATCCGAAAACAATTATTCAGGTACGATTGGAAAACGATTAGCGACAATAAATATGGAGAATAATGTTGAGAATCGTCAAAAGTACCGTCAACTGCTGTTCACAACACCGAATATTGGCGAACATATTTCTGGAGCGATTCTTTTCGAAGAGACTTTCAACCAGGTCGGATCATACTTCCAGTTAACCCATTAAGTTCAGAATAGGATATGCATGAAAACTTCGAGAACCATTGAAACTTGCAAAATTCGTTTTCGATCTTGTGCGTAGTTAAAAACGATCAATGCTCTAAAGCTGATGTTTCGGTGGATGGAAATGATTTCAGAAAACGGATAAAGGTGAACGATTTGTGGATGTGCTGAAAAAGGCTGGTGTTATTCCTGGCATTAAAGTCGACCTCGGCGTTGTACCACTTGCTGGAACGCTCGGCGAAGGCACCACTCAAGGTTGTCAGAAAGTTCCCTTTTAGTGATTCAAAAAAGTCAGACGCTCAATTGATTCGCTACAGCGCTCTGGTACAGAAAACGATTCTAAACTGCGGATTTCAGTGATCCAATCGATATTTCGACAGAATTAGTAAACTTTGAGATAAATGAAATTCCGAATCAATATTTCTGATTCGTTCACATCATTCAGTCAACAGTTGTGAATGTGTGATTGGATATTAGTTGAAGTCGAATGAGGTGAATTCTGAATTAAGGATTGGATAACTTGGCAAAACGAGCTGCGGAATTCAAGAAGGGAGGATGCGAGTTTGCAAAATGGCGATGTGTACTGAATATCTCATCACACACACCATCCCATGTAGCACTACTCGAGAACGCTAACGTGCTAGCACGTTACGCTTCAATCTGTCAACAAGCAGGTCTAGTGCCTATTGTTGAACCTGAGGTGCGTGATTCCAAGAGTTGTTCCATTCGTGCAGCGAGACCATTATACTATCATATGTAATGTAGTTCAATGAACCAGTTACATACACTCTTACTTTAAGAATACAGTATTTACAGTATGGTCCGTATCACAAATGATGACTTACTTTGGCAAACATCAGCCTATGATAAGTACCAAAATTAAGCTTTATCGACGATAGCAATCAATCATGATACCTTGCAATTATATCATGCATATTTTGAAGTTTTGATTTCGCAGCCCACATACCATTCATCTCTTAATTTCATTTTCCATAAACGACCACAATTGTGAAAGATTGGGTTGATATTTAGAATGTAAATTCTTAATTTCAAGCAAATACATTCAGGTTCTGTGTGACGGAGATCATGACATAGTACGCGCTCAGAAAGTGACAGAGCAAACGTTGGCTTTTGTTTACAAGGCGCTTAGTGATCATCATGTCTATTTGGAGGGCAGTTTGTTGAAACCGAACATGGTCACTCCTGGGCAATCGTATAAGGGAGAGAAGGTAACTTCCGATCGAACACCATTATTCTGATCGAAACAAAAATTTCCGACGGAAAGCAAATGAACATTGTAAATTTCGAATGTTGAAGAAATAAATTTACAAAATTTCAAACTGTTTTTAGGTATCCCACGAGGAGATCGGTGAGGCCACCGTCCGCACACTGCTACGTACAGTTCCAGCTGCTGTACCGGGAATAGTTTTCCTGTCCGGTGGACAGTCTGAGTTGGACGCGACGGCTAATTTGAATGCCATCAACCGAGTCAGTCTTCAAAAACCATGGAGACTATCGTTCAGGTCAATAAATCACAGCAATCTGAGCATTATAGCCATAGCATCACACCCATTGACATTCCTTTACAATACCTTCACTATAAACAATAAGAGGAATTGACTCGTTTCAAAATATCCGTCGATATTGTAAAACAACGCTGAATTTATGTGATATACTGATGGTAAACATCAGTCGATAAGTTGATTCAGAAATGATTTCACAATAAATTTTCAGTTTTGGTCGTGCACTTCAAGCATCCGTATTGAAAGCTTGGATGGGTAAAAATGTGGAAGCCGCACAGAAGCAATTCATAGTGAGGGCAACTGCAAACGGCATGGCTACAGATGGCAAATACGAAGGTGAAGAAGCTTCAGCGACTGCAGCAGAATCGTTGTTCGTTGCGAAACACACGTATTAAGTGATGGCATTGTGCGGTTTTGATAGGATCCCGTCACCTTGACGTCAGTATTACCGAAAACGAACACCTTTCAATATAAAATCGCATGCAGTTCACTTAGTTTCAGCGTTCCGAATTCCTTCCGTTCACATTTTGTGACATTCTTCAGGCTCTTTGCTAAACGCTCAATTTTTTGTGGTTTCTTGTTCGTTCGTTTGAATAGTCCAATAAATTTTATTGAATACAGTTTCGTTCTTAACAGAGACGTGTTAATTGGAAACTACTTTCACTTCAAGCATGAAACCGATCCATATGAATTGAACTAAAAATATTCAAACAAACAAAACAACAATTGGAAAGGAGTGATCGTGGTGGAATGAAATAGATTTGGTTCACAAACATGCAGTGTTTTTCAGTGCAAGATACATTTTTATCTGAAAATTATACGTGATAACATGTTCTCGAATATGCAACACCATATCCGAAAAGAATGTATCTCTTGAATTAACACACCTATTCTTGTGATGGGGAAAGACGCGAAATCAGAAAATGTACAGCAGTCGAAAGGGTCATTGAACACAAATCAAATTCCACTGAACATTTCCGAACTCGTTAAGTCGTGCAACTAACAGAATTTCATATGATTTGTTTATTTCGTAAACCGATCTATCACAATTCTGCTTGGCTCAGCAATATAAAAGCTATACAACAACGGAAGTAAAGTTTACAAAAAAAGTTTATTACACATCCAAATCAGACGAATCTAGCACAGATACAAGGATAATCTATCTACTGAAATCCACCTGCTTTTGGTTTATATCCGAGTTTATAAGCAACACCTTTATATGCAGGTGAATCGTTAAACATTACCATACGTGATGCATCAGCAGATCGTGGTCGCTTCGAAATCTGAAATCAAATTTATTTATTTCACCAGCATCCCTTCACTCGATCATCCAATTCTGTAAGAAACTTATCCCCAACTAAGAAATGATGTACTTTTCCTCAAATGTTACTCTTAGAATGTGAGGTAAATCGTAATGAACGGAAAAGCTTTCGAGAGAGAAAAATGTTGAGATATTTCAGTGAATGGAACTTGTATCAAGATCACCTCAGTAGATCATTAGAAACATACAACCGAATTACCGAACTTATAAGCCAAAAGTATTCGGTCAGACGAAACCAAGAGTATTCAGTCAGAGAAATCATAAAGATTATACACTATTACATAGATTTACCCTCTCCAATTTGCCCTTCTCCTGAACGATCCAAACATTCCATATGTATAAAACAGGAAACTCTGTTCAAAAGCATAAAAAATTAGTGCTATGTTGTCAACCTTCTTGTGCACCCCATCACATAACGGTCGATTTTCGGTTTGTTTGCATTGGCACAGTACGTAATCACCAGATTTTTCCACTTGAAAGTTTACCGGTCTTAACATTGTGATACCATCTGGCTTATGTGATCCATCACACCACGGCTGCAAATATAATTGTGAACCATGAATAGAAATTACAACTGAACTTATCATGAGAAGTAATATTGCTATTGAATGAAGGTTCAAGTCCATATGTAGATTCTCTATAAATCCCTACTCCGTTGACCTAATCGCAAATCATCGGTCTATGTTAATTGAAGTACCTCAGGTTTGCACAATCAATATCACGAAAAGTAATGAGTGGTATCTGAAGACTGAAAATTATAATTCTGTAAACATTTAATCATTGGGTAAGTATTCAAGAGGATTTCCAAATAAATATGAACGATAAATAAACTTAAATTACTATGGAACTGGATTAAGAAAAACAAAATTTTTTGAAAATGGATGAATTTTGAAAACAATTACGAAGTAACTGGAACCTGATTAGCTGAATGACCGCATGAACACCACGAGTATTGTTTACCACTCTCGAGATGCACTTTGATAGGCTTCTTCTCTGCGTCAATACCCTTCATCGGAAGCATTGCTGCAGAAGGATTTTCAATTTGGATGCGCGATGTTTTACAGCGCACCGATAGACATCGTATCTGAAGATTAATTGATTACAAACAATGATAGCTGATAACAGATGAGAATTTTGAAGACAATCGCTAACAGTATGTTTAAAACTGGATGAAAAATCATTGAACATGAATACAGAAAACGAATATCTCTTAAAGGCTATCAGGAGAATAATGCGAAAAGATAAGTGAGAGAAATGAAGGTAGTCTCGAGAAAACAAACTGCTCAATTAACAGTTGAAAAATACCGTTTTAGCTGCCGATACTTGTAAATTCCTTGCGAGCATTACTATCTCGACACTCTGTTAGCGGTTTCCAATCCTTAACTCAGAACTTTAATGGTAACAAAGGCTGATCGCAACGAAATTTAAACATGTTAACGACAAGAAGTGAACAATAATTAAACGTTAAAATTTGCACGTCATTATGCAATTACAAGATAAGGAATGATTATTTCTGAGGATCACGCGAGGAAGAGGTAACGTCTAGCGTGCAGTGAAATTATCGTTAGGTAGGTCTGGTGTTTCCATGAGAAAATTTGTAAATCCAACTAGAAACTAGCAACTTCGGATGAAAATCATCAATAAAAGTGATAACACCAGTGCGTACACGATCATGAAATTCTCGTCTCTTCGTACGGCACATTCGCCAAGCACGAGTTAAATTTGATTGCCACTTTGCCAACCTCAAACAAGGTGCTATTCTACGGAATGAAAATCGACAAATATCTCTCGAATAAGAGACAATAAACCTACAAATACAAATATTTTATTCAAAGAGACTGGCTGAATGCTCTATCCGACTGTCGAAAGTAATCGTAAATTTATCAAATGAAACTGGGTGTATTGATGACCTGAACGTGATAGTGCAATCCCGAAATCCAAAACTGGATCGCAAATAATAGTGATAGCCTCAGGAAAAGAAGGAGTAATATTCTAATGACGAGTAATATTCCTACGACTAAAAATAGCTCGAATTTCACAAAAATGCTCATTAAACAAAGGACAAACCGAACGTTCACACAAAATTTACAATATAAGTAATTCCTCACAACGGTGTATAACTGGTTCAAATTGCTTTAATACACATTAAAATGAGACAGTTTAAAAAATGGAAGATGGGGAACAACAATTAGCGTGAAAAATACAAATATAACATAGCCACTCATCATAATCACTTCTAATTAATTAAAAAATTACAAGTAAGATAAANAATGGAAGATGGGGAACAACAATTAGCGTGAAAAATACAAATATAACATAGCCACTCATCATAATCACTGCTAATTAATTAAAAAATTACAAGATAAAAGTGGATCGCTCGCGAATAACATTTCACGCCGACGCGTCTCGGCTCATCGCCAAGAACGGGCCGGTGCAGCGATTTGCTGAATGAAAAGTCCGAAAAGTGAGGGGTGGGCAAAATATTTTTACGATGCGTTCCCATTATCGGTTCTGCACTCATACTGGGTCAGTATTCAATGATTTTGGATTTTAACTCCAGGTTAAGTTCGGGACCCATTTATCAATATTTCTAGCAGTTGAATTGTCGATTTGGTGGATTTTCGGCAGAATTATAGGTAAAAAACTGTTAAAATTTTGCACCCAATTTGAAAGTGCGCTCAAATGTTCTCACAATGAAGGCAAACCCGCGAAATTAAATGTTAGCCTTCATCTTGTTCCTTGTAATATCCTTCCTTATGTCTGTATACTTATAAACTCGATATCCGGAATATGGGGCTGGGATTTCCAGTTATCCAGTTTCTGCGGTTAACTGGAGCTGGGGACGGATTGTAATCCTGAAGTAGTGATTGTTTTCATGCCTTACGTTTGTGCTTATCTTAGTGATTTTGTAGTGACTTGGCGAATCGGATGCTGTAAATCTAAAGGAAATTTTCAAATTATTTGAAATTTAAAATCGATCTTCCAATTCACTCAAAACTTCTGCACGACTAGTTGATGAACAACTTTATAAGTACATCCAAATCATTAGTTTTTGTAGTGTTCCTTGTGATATTTGTTTGTTTTTACTGTGATATTATCGAAATGTATACTGAATGTTTTGTTTCATTTATTTTTGTTGAATGTAATCATATTTGTAATTATGAAATTGAAATAATATTGTAACGGTTTAAATATTCATAAATATATTATGAAAAGCTTTCGGTCTTCCTTTCAGTCAGTTTCAATGAATTAAAAATTGACTCGTTTAATTTACATTTATAACAAAATTGTCACTGTCTTATGTTAATTTTTATTCTATTATCTGTGATACTTATTTACATTCACAGGATTTTTCATAGCACTATCGATATTCGCATACAGCCTTCATTGGTTTTAATTGTTGCGCATAAAAATTGTGTGTATTTAAGTGAATCAGCTTGGATGATTATTATACAATTAAAAGGATGTTTTGACAATATTATGAAAGTAATGTTTAATAGTAATGGTGTGTTTGTACGTTATGAAAGATTTGTGATAAATAAATATGAATTTTAAAAACTTGTGTTGTTTTCACATGGAAAATTTCAGCAAAATAAAATGTTCTGGTTATCGGAGGGGCATTGGTTCTTCGTTTGTTTGACTACTCGCTCATTAACCACTGACCAATTAACAGCGGCTAATAAGCGAGTAGTCGAAGACTCGAAGAAGACCCGAAATTAATAAAAGGTCGATCCACCTGATAAAAAAGGTTAATCAAAGGTCGATCCACGAAATCAATTTCAACGTCCCGGACATCCCGGACGGCACAAAGAAATCCGTAAACTTGGATTTGTGAAGCATAATAAAGAGTGAAACCCGGTCATTTCGATGCAAGCATGCAGAGATACTTTATGTTATTCATTCAGCA